TATATATATATATATATATATATATATATATAGAAAAAATAAATGTAGTGGTTCCAACGAGAGAAGAGTATGTACATTAAAAAGAAGAGAAGAGAGGTGCCGCAAACGTTTTTGGTTGTAATGTGGATTTATTTAGAAAAATATTATGCTTTGTTTTACATAATTTTACGACACGTGTTTCTGGTCTCGACCGTCTTCAGGTAAAAGTGAGATTTCACATATTATTAAAAATAATTATTAATTTTTCCTCATGTTCAATGTTAAATATTCTCGATATGAGACATTTTCTGTTTGTGTGTTGGTAATCTGAATTTCTTTCTTGAATTGGCAATGAAGAGTTCTGCGCGAAGGGTCATAAAACAATTAAGGTTGGTCCAGCGAAATGATAAATTAGTTATCGGCATTTTATCTTTTAATGTTTTACTGACCCCTATGTGCTCTTGGATCTGTTTCCATTTTTGAACATGAGGAAAAATTAATTATTATTTTATATGTGGAAATCTCCACTTTTACCTGAAGACGGTCGCGTGACCAGAAACACGTGTCGTAAAATTATGTAAAACAAAGCATAATATTTTTTCTAAATAAATCCACATTACAACCAAAAACGTTTGCGGCACCTCTCTTTCTTTTTTTATATATATATATATATATATATATATATATATATATATATATGGCGCGTGTGGTCGTATCTACTTTTTGTGATCAGGCCTCTTTAGCCACAAAACGTGGACACAGAAACACCTATAAATATGATACACAGTATGAATTTTCGCCCAGTATTTTTGTGGCACAACCATTGGACTCATCCTAAGTATAAACATTTATATAATCAGGTTGCACTCTGAAGATCCTCCTGAACTCAATGTGGAATAGTTTGCAACCAGTGGATTATACTGCAACTAGACTGAGCGGACATTAGTTAGGGTTTCTGAGAGAGAGAATAATCAGGGATGGTCAGTAATTGAACAGAGTTAGTACGCTGAAACCCTCGGTCACGATGACTTGTAACTTTTTGCTAGCATAAGAATCGACGGTTTCCGCACAGGTTCTTCTATCCAATTTCACTGGACAATCATAGAAAATAATTATATTTAAATCTAAAACAAATCCAGGATTAATTTATAAAAAAAAAAACATTAAAAGATTTAATATTTATTCATGCATAAATTAGAAACAATATTCATCTACTCTAACCCTCAAGGCTCATTTGATTATATTATCCTGTATATTTTGTCGTATTCCCTTACGTAACTAAACGTGAAGTGAACAAAATCAGGCTCTTTAGGAAGGCAGCTGTTTAAGTTCATTACGATCTTGTATTACATAGTAATCCATTTATATATTTCCTTTTCTTTCACGCACCCGTTTTTATATGGATGGGTTTTAGGTGCGAAAGTTTAAATATCTGGGAAGTGTTTTGACAGAGGACAGTAAGTGCGACACTGATATCCGTAGATGTATTGGGATGGCCAAGGACGCATTCCAAAAGCTGGGCAGTCTATTGCGAGACAGGAGAATTTCTTTAGTAACGAAGAAAAGGTTACTGAGCTGTTACGTGACATCTGTCCTCCTTTACGGCAGCGAATGTTGGACGGTCTCCTCAAAGATTAAGAAGAGACTCGAAACGACGGAGATATGGTTCTACAGAAGGATGCTGAGGATCTCACAGACCGAGCATGTGAGCAACGATGAGGTTTTGGAGAGGATGCAAACAAAGAAGAGGCTTATACTTAACATCAGGAAGAGGCATTTGAGGTTTCTGGGAAACGTAATGAGAAAAGAAGGTCTGGAGAATCTGATACTCACGAGTCGAATAGAAGGAAAGAGAGACAAAGAAAATCAACGCATGACATATCTGACGGCCTTAAGCAAGTGGATGACAGAACGTGGTCTTGTGGTGGGTATGTCAGAGAGACGAAACTTATTGAGGGATAGAGAGAGGTGGAGAGCCATGATCGCCTACGTCCTGAAAGGACACAGCACATAAAAAGAAAATTTGACCCTTATTTACATTATTGGGACAATTTTCCTCATTTTTGTCGACATTTACATTACAATGTTTCTGCCGTTGTACGCTCCGGCCTTCGTCAGGTGGTTGGAATGTCGAACTTAACCCTTTATTTCGCTCACTGGGGTAGACTAGTTCCACGTTCCATGGATGTCAGTTATCAGTTATCTCCTGTCAATTTCCCTCTGAAAGTTCTCCACTGCCTTAACAGGGTATTGAACTCACACTCTTTGGGTCCTGTCACTGGATCTAACCAATTCCTTTATCCACTGTGCAATGTGTTCTTGAGGACATCTGTGTATGAATTTCTGGGTATTATAAACCTAATGTCTTCAGCAACCATTTTTATCAGTGCTCATATTGCAATTTTTCCTGTTATCATTCATGTTTTTATCAGAGCTCATATTGCAACTTTTGTTATTATCGCTTTTTCTCTGGCACTCCTTATTACTGGTTCCCATATTGTATTCATTTCTATGCATGGTCAGCTCAGGAGATTTTTGTGGCCTAGCATATGTGCTGATTCCTTAAGTTTATGAATTTTCCAATGGTGTTCCTTGTCTATGATCTTAACCTGATCCCACAGTGAGCGAAATAAAGGGTTGAGTTCGACATTCCAACCACCTGAAGAAGGCCGGAGCGTACAACGGCTGAAATGTTGTAATAAATATGGCGACAAAGATGAGGACAATAGTTCCAATAATGTAAATAATGTACATGATACCTCATCTCAGAAATATAGACAAAATTTGACTCATATAATTATACCTATATTCTAAGACCTCTCCTGACAGCTGCTTATGTTGTTTGACTGACACCAATCAAGCGATGAGTCAGCAATGACCAACAAAAAATTGACCTCAAGTTGGTTAATTTAAATGACCTGCACCAACTGTCGGGGGTGCACATAATTCTTGACTGGTTTTAGATTTTCCATCTGTGGCTCAAATCAAAGAATGGCCCAATTAATTGTCCTCATCTTTGTCGCCATGTTTATCACAACGTTTCGGCCGTTGTACGCTCAGGTGGTTGGAATGTCGAACTGAAAACTTTATTTCGCTCACTGGGGTAGACTGTTCTAGTTCCACGTGCCATGTCTAATGGATGTCAGTTATCTCCTGTTAATTCCCTTGTGAAAGTTCTCTACTGTCTTAACCAGGTATTGAACTCACACTCTTTTGGGTCTGGTCACTGGATCTAACTAACGCCTTTATCCACTGTGCCATATGTCCTTGGCAGAAAGATTCCAAAAATTCATTGTTGGTAATAATTTTTTGCAAAGCATTTCTGGTATTAAACTATTTTTACACTTTCATAGTGTAACTATTTTTACACTTTCATAGTTAACCCCCAAACTCCAGTTTGGGGGTTAACTATTTGCCCATAGCTGGGACCCTAACAGGTGTTACCATCCCGGGTCAGGGTGAACCTGGGAATACTAGCAATTAAGAGGTGCTTCTACGCTCCTCAAAACCTCCTGTCGGACGTAGTTTATCGCTTTACCGGATGCTTTACCGGATGCTTTACCGGATGTAGTTTATTGTCATACCCAGGACGGACACTTTTTAGTGTATGTATTATCATTTGGCTATAAAATGCAGTGTTGATAATTCTACTATAAATATCTGATGTTGGTAATTCTATTGTAAAAATGTATTGTTGGTATTTTTGTATAAAAATGCATTGCTGGTACTTTTACCGCAGAAATATATTTTTTATACATTCCTAGTATTTTGATTGTTCTTTGGGGGTTCACTATTTTACCAAAGCTGGAACACTAATAGGTGCTACCACCACGGGTAAGGGTGGACCTGAGATCAACATCAATTAAGGGGAGGTTGCTCGTTCCTAAAAATGTCCAGTCACCTGATCAGAGGCCTTGCTGCCAGTTTAATTTATCGTCGGACCCAGGACTAGGAAATTGCCTTTACTTTTTCATTTTCCTTCGTATATATCAGTATACCGCCCCTATATATATAAATATATATATATATATATATATATATATATATATATATATATATATATATATATGTGTGTGTGTATGTATCTGTGTGTGTGTACTTATATATTTACACATTTAAAGATATATGTCGATATATGAGTCCTTGCGTGTATATATACGTGTATGTAAAGATATAAATATATAAATGTAGTAAACCTATATATATATATATATATATATATATATATATATATATATATATATATGTATATATGTGTGTGTGTGTGTGTGTGTGTGTGTGTGTGCAGATATGTAGAAAATAGGAAAGAACACGTTAGGTAGATAATCCGAGTTCTTTAGTATTTTTGTTTTTATTTAAAAAAAAACAAAAAACAGTGCTCCATACTGAAGTAGATCTTAAATTATAATTATTTTTAAAAAAATAGGATTCCTTCGCTACATAAGAGTTCTCATGTTTCAAAAACGAAAGCCGAAAACCTCAATATAATTATTAAAATTAAATTGAGTTAAAGTATCAAGCCCTGTTTCATCCTCAAGCGAAAATTTAGGAATAACAAGTTTTGAAAATTTACGCATCTTTATAAGCATGTTCATTCGCAAAATTAATTACTATGGAAACGGCTGGTGCGACCATTTCGGTAATGGGTGTAAGAGATAATTTTTATCCACATGTCAGTCACCTTCGGAAAGAGGTCAAGCTGAGGTAGGTTGGGTGCATCCATTTCAAAGCGAATGATGGCATTCATGTGCGCACATCGTCTGGTCAGTCACAGCGAAAGATTACTATATATGCGTGTGCGTGTTTTATTGAATAATATAGGATATTTTATGTCTATACATTTTTATAATAATCCTTTCTAGTTCTCTAATCAGTTTCTTGATGCTAAGATGAAATTCATCAAGGGAGTCGACGTAGTTTTTTCCTCCCCAGGTACTTTCCATCAATAATAATAAAATCCCTTTTCTTGATGTATTAATCGACACTAATAATAATAATAATACGTCTCCATATAAAAAGAAACAACTAGCATAAACACTTCTCCTCTAAACTATAAAAGTGAATTCCTGATTATTATATAAAAGCTATTATACAAAATTTAATACACCGTGAAAAAAATAACTCCTCCACGAAAAAGGTTTTCTACAGTGGATTACAAAAACATTAAACAAACACTCATTAATAATGAATTTTCTAATTACATCGCTGATGAACGAATTAGATGAGCTATTAGAGTTATTAACATAAATAAAAAAGAACATAATACTTCCTCAAATAACCCTAAACTTATATATAAACGTTTATAGTTCAGTCAGGCAGTTATGTGCCATGCGTGATACACGCTTAGGCGATCATGTATCTTTCGATATATGACTGACAAGGCAGATTTTTCCCCGTGCGTTGCCATTTCTTTCTGCGGTAGACCAGTTGCTATCCAAGGCTATATGACCAGGTCTGTCTCTTCTTCTTCCCCCCAGCCATGGAAGCGGGGAGGAGAAGAAGAGGATTTATACGTTAGTAAATGTAATGGATTCGACTGGAATTCATTTCTCAATCCGAGCCGCTATCCGAGTGTCGCAGCAATGTGTTGAAGTGCATTTAAAGCTCATTTAATGGTATTTTTCCATTTTTAACAATTTTTGGTCAGCTCCCTCATATTGGGATGCTTTTTCAAAAAAAAAAAAAAAAAATCCAGAGCTACAAAGGAATAAATTTATAATTTTAAAATAATTATACGTTTAGGCGTGTGTTTTTTTGTTTTTTATTTATTTATTTATTTTTTTTGTTTAAATCACCGTCACAGCAAAACGCACATTCTTTCTCAGTTGCATTAAATGTGTCTTTGTAATGATCCTAGCGAAGATAGAAAGTATTTGGATAAGGAAAAAAGGGGAAAAAAAATAAGGAAAAGACGACGACGCTTTACTTGATGAATTTCAATTTATTAGGTTGGTGCAAAAATAATGACGTAATAATGTCGTTTTTGACGTATTTTTTAACGTCAAAAACGACATTATTACGTCATTATTTTGCACCAACCTAATAAATATCAAGAAAAATGATTAGAGAACAGGAAATGATCAGTACAAAAATAAATAGACATAATATGTCTACATCACTCACTGAAACGTGTAGATATGTATATATATATATATATATATATATATATATATATATATATATATATATATATATATATATATATATATATATATATATATATATATATATATATATATATATATATATATATATATATATATATATATATATATATATATATATATATATATATATATATATATATATATATATATATGAGTGTTTAGAAAGTTCACTTTCTGACCATGAGACCCGGGTTCGAATCTCACCACGGTTGATTTGTTGGGAAAGAGACTTCCTGATGTTATCGGCCTGGAGGGTAGTGGGGACGATCCCAGCGTGCGGCACCTTTGGAAAGTGCCTGAAAACCATACCACGGGTTGGCCCAAGCCTTTTGAGTGAAATTGGGTAGATGGAACAGTTGGGAGCCGTCGATAGCTGTGCACGAAGTCACAAGTCATCGTGACTGAGGGTTTGAGTTTAAAAGGCTCTCACCCAAAAACTGTAACTAAGGTCTACTCAGCATAGTTCCTGTATAAACCACAGGTAGGCTCTATGGGTGTTGAACAAACAAAATGTGCCTGAGCGAGCGTCTGCATTAGGGAGTGATTAGCCGCCCTATTAGACAGGTATCCTCGAATACAAGTGGCCAGCATTATATATATATATATATATATATATATATATATATATATATATTAAAGGTGTTCTAATAAAGGTGTTCTTGGACCGATTTTAAATGTGAATTAAGTTTAAGCGTTCAGTGATTTTTTAGTTTTTCTTTCAGATTCGCCTGATATTTCGGCAATACTATTTTTTTACACATAATTGCTATGACTTAAATAAAATGATCCAATAGAGAAATAAATAAATTTTCAAATAATAACAATGATTTATTTACTTCTGACTTTGTTCCGTTTTAATGAAACACCCTTAAATATAATCCGTCTTAATGAAACACACCTTATACATATATGCATATATGCACACACACACACACACACACACACACACACACACATACATATATATATATATATATATATATATATATATATATATATATATATATATTATATTATAATAAAAAAGAAAGAACATTAAGATATATAATCCGGTGTTCTTATTGATATTTTTATTTTTACAAAACAATGCTCAATGTAAATTTACAGACCATAAATATTCCAAAATTCGCTTGAAGATGAAACAGAACTAATGCTTTTAATTTAATTATATAACTAAATTTAATTATATAATTATATAATATAGTTATATAATTTTTATTCGTTTTAATTTAATTATATAATCAAATTTGAAGATTTTAGCTTCTGTTTTTGAAACATGGTAATTCCTGTGTAGCGAAGAAACCATAATTTAAATCAGTTAATTTATAATATACAAACATATATAGACTCTTCGATATATATATTTGTATAGACATGCATGAAAGTGCTCAAGACATATATGGTATAAAATATGTATGGATAAACGCGTTTGAAATAGACATCCCGTTGTATATATTACGCCTGCCTGCGTATCCAAGAAAACTTAATAAAGAAAATGTGCTAAGAAACATTGCTAGTGAGATTATTCGCTTTATTAAGTTTTCTCTATTCACTAAAAATAACGTTTGAAGTAATAAAAAATGTCGGATTAAAAATAAATTTCATAGTTTGTTTTTCGCCCGGTTCACACTACTCTGTCTTTTGAACAGGGGTATCCATTGTTTCCGTATTAGGAATGCGTTTCCAGTGCCTTCTAACATTTGACTGTTCAAAGAAGACTGTTCATCCAGTTAGTCAAAAATCAATCAACCACAGATATGACGTCATCATCCCCGAAATACTGGTTCTCAGCCAAATGTTTTGTCATGTTGGAGAATAGATGATTGTCAAATCAAAAGAATTGGAAGGGTGATCAACCAGTTCAAAGCCACAGCACTCATTAAAAACAAAACTTGTGTGCTGGAGGATTGTCCTGATGAAACAAGATGCCCTACGTCAGTTTTCCTGGGTGTTTGGTCTTGATAGCCTTTCATAACTGCCTCACCAAGTTGACATAGTACTCTCCATTGATGGTGTGGCCCTTTTGAAGATAGTCAATAAACGTAATGCCTTTTGCCTCCCAGAAAACTGAGGCCATTACCTTCCCTGCAGATGAAACGAACTTGGTCTTCTTTCGAGCAGCTGAGGAGGGGTGTTTCGACTGCATCAATTGTCTCCTTGTGTCTAGCTCAGAGTGATGAATCCAAAACTCACCCTGGTTTAGGAAGCGTTCAAGGAAACCAAATGAACTTACCTCAAACGATGTCAGATTTACTCAGCCTGGTGGGCTTTTGATCAGATTTTAGAAAACGTGGCACCCACCAAGCAGAAACCTTCGTTATGCCAAGTTAATTGTTCAGATTAGTATCAAGTCTCTCAAGGGATATGCTAATCGCATTGGCTATTTGATTTACTATCAGTTTTTTGCAACACGCTAACGTCTGTTGAAATCCTTAAGATAATTAATATTATTGAAGTTATTTATACCACTTTTATCGAGGACCCTAGGTTTCGTTAAATTTCGCAACACAAACAATAAATTATAAAAACTTAAAGAAAGGATATTAAAAAAATATTGCATTTTTTATTAAATAAGTATTTGTTATTTTAATCATTAAATTGTTTTTAAAATTGTGCGAGTATTTTGTATGTTAAATAATAAAACATAATTTTTCCAAAGTAAAACCAATTGTCCCTTGTACCCTCTTACCTGTTTGAACTTCTCAAAATTCAGTTTCGTTCTTCGTTCTATGCATGGCTATTTTAGAGGATGTGACGGGCAGATTAACGTAAATCACATAATTTTATGCGTCGATGGTCAATTGCCTGTCATCCATCACCATGTAGTGAAAACAGGACTTGTGTGCTGGAGGATTGTCCTGATAAAACAAGATACCTTTCGTCAGTTTTCCTTGGGGTTGGTCTTGATAGCCTTTCGTAAGTGCCTCAGCAAGTTGACATAGAACTCTCCATTGATAGTATGGGCCTTTTGAAGATAGTCAATAAATGCTTTTCTCGGTGGTGGCCGTTGCAGGATGTCCGGATCTTGGGTCATCTTCAAGATGTTCCCTTCCCCGCCTAAATTCAGCTGCCCTCTTTTTCACTCTTGATAAAGCTGGAACGTCACACCTAATGTTGCTACCATATCAGTATGAATGTTCTTGGGGGCTAAAACCAATTTTTTTTTGCAGGAATTTGATAACACGATACCAAATTTTGTTCACTTCAAATGAAGTCACTAGTGGTTGAAGTCTTCTTTGATCAGTCAGATGTCAGTTTATGTAGAAGGAAACAACGCAATTATTAAGAAGAAGAGTTGAAATTAATACATGTAATATTTCACAGTTCTAGCGTTACTCCTTCATAGTCAGCGAATGAACTTTTCAGTGTACCATCAAGTTTATTGTGAAAGTATCGAGACATTAATCTCTTCTAATTTATCGCGGTTTACATGACAAATATTCAGACGTGCTACATTTCACCAGTCAGGCTTTTACAGTTAGGACCCACAGAGTCGGCTGTGTACTTGATGTTGGTGTAATGTGGTTTGTATACATGTGTGATGTGATGTGTATGTATGTGCAATGTGATCTATGCAACTTGATGTAATGCGTATGTATGTGTTAGTAGTGTGTAATATAATGCGATGCGATGTTTATGTTTTATGTGTGAGTGTGATGTGACGTTAATACAATGTGATACGTGTGTTTATGATTTGTATGCTACGTATTGTGATTAAATGTGTGTTTGATTTAATGTGTATGTATGGAAATGTAGTATTATGTGTGTACAATGTGATGTGATGTGTATGTGTGATTTGATGTGACACATGTGTAATTTGTATGAAATATATGATGTATCTCTATGCTTGATGTGATGTGATGAGTGTGCAATGTTATATGATGTATGTGTACATGTGATGTTATGTCTGATTTGATCTGCTTGTATGTGAGATGTGCAGTGTGTATGTAATGTGATGCGTGCGTGATTTGTGTTTCCAATATATTGTATGTATATATACCATGTAATATGCGTGTGGTGAGATGTGAGGTCTGTAATGTGAGGTGTGCATGCGTGATATGTGTACAATGTGGTGTGTATGTAAATGTGATGTGTGAGATATGTGCAATTTGCGCAACGTGATGTATATATGTGTGATGTGTTTATGTGAGCAACGTAATGTGAGGTGTGTACGCGTGTTGTAATATATTTGAAATGATTAGTGTGAACGCGAGATATGATGTGTATGTGTGATGCAGTGTAATGTGGGCGTGTAATGAGATGGGATGTGTGAGCATGCGTGGCGTCATGTGATATGATGTGCGCTTAATTTGATGTGATATTTTAGATATGGTGTTATATATATGCGTAATTTGATGCGATGTGATGTGTATGCGTGATGTGTCTGTGTATGTGTCATACTAACTAATGTGGTGTTAAATTTCCAAAGTAATGTACTGATTCCCACTATACAGTATTTGCAAACAATAAATACTCGTACGCCAGAATCCAAAGAGTGAAGTTTTTTTTTTATGGTTTTAAACATCAGATCTTTGCAAACAGGAAGTCGGCCATTATTTGATGTAAAAAGAACTAAACGTCGTAATAAAATCACTTGTGATAATAGAGCAATGTTTTCACATGCGAAAATTATGAGGTTTATGTTGTATTAAGGAAACATTTCAGCAATTTACCGTTGCTTGTAAGATGCGATCCGACGAAACGGAAAGAAATGATCTTTGAAAGATTTATTCTCTATGTAATTATACGGCTTTATCTATCTATCTATCTATCTATCTATCTATCTATATCTATGCTTCTTCCCTATCTATCTATGACTCTTCACGTCTATATCTCTTCACATCTATCTAAATATCTATGTCTATTCATATCTATCTTAGTTTGTTCATATCTATCTATCTATCTATCTATCTATCTATCTATCTATCTTGGTTCATATATATATATATATATATATGTATATATATATAGTCTATTCATATCTATCTATCTAAGTTCATATATATATATATATATATATATATATATATATATATATATAGTCTATTCATATCTATCTATCTATCTTAGTTCATATATATATATATATATATATATATATCTATTCATATATCTATCTATCTAACTTAGTATGTTCATATCTATCTATCTATCTATCTATCTATCTATCTATCTATCTATCTATCTGTCTGTCTGTCTGACTGTTTGCTATCTGATATATCTGATTATTTATATTATTATACATCACTATATACATCAGTTTAATTCTTTCTTTCTTTTTTCTTTCTTTCTTTCTTTCTTTCTTTCTTTCTTTCTATCTATCTATCTGGTTTCTTGGGAAGTTGATCTTAACAGGCAAGTATAACGAAGAATCTCAACCTTTAACATCATCGAAAGCATATAGGTTATTTAATTCGTAAAAATACAAACTTTTGGCACAAGGCCGAAGGGGAAATTGGGAGGGGCTGTTCTTCATTAGCTACTCTAGTCTTAGTTACTCAAACTCACCTCCCATTAATTCATTACAATTTATTCATTCACGACAAGAACTTATCCATCACCTCTCAATCCTGCATATACCACAATACCGCATATTCACAGGCGACTTACAAAAACACCCCTTGACATTAAAAAATTGATGAAAGTCCAAAATGCCCTTTCCTTTTTTTTACAAAAACATATATAAATTCCATGAATCAGGAAAAAATGGGGAGGTGATGAACATAGAAGCGAACTAAAAATGTATCACAAAGATACAACTAAAACAAATGTTAGTAGGAACTGTGTCCACTTCTCAAAATAATAAGAGTGGCCGCTGTATTCTACCGATAGACAGAATCAAAAAGCACATTCATTAATGGAATGGGAAGGATGAAATTAAATGAAAATCAAAGGTTGACCCAGTTGAGATGAAAACCGGAGACAAAAACAAACTGGGGAGGTTGGGAATCAACACTTGACTATGAAAACATAATAATGTCTAACTTAACCAGGGAAGGGTTCACAGGAAACCACCTCGTTGCATCAAGGGGATTTAAAAGAGAACATCAAGGCTAGCCCCGTTCACACGAACCAGGCTCGCAATAGTCACCAAACTTTCGCTGAAATTTGTCGACATCAAATGCTTTCTATCAGATATAATCTTTACCTTGAGCTGATACCCAATGAAAACAACCAGATGCTGATGAGAATAACATTCGTATCGCAAGATTCCTTCCTTTCGCCACGTCCATATCATCATTCTTGCGTGAGAAACACATTGTCACACGTGTACGTGAGATAGATAGACACGAGCCGATCGGGAGCGATAGGAGCCGCCAACTCGCCGACATTGTTCCAGAAAGGGCGCATCTGATGATAATGGTAGAAGGCGCGCGCAGTTGTTTCCTCTACGCCAAAGTCACACCGATGATAGTCGGCATTTGAGAGGTAGCATGTTCCGAATCAATCGCCTGCTAAGCGAAAACTCAGAGTTGCTGATATAGTCCGCCACTGGCGCCCGAGTAAAAAAAAAGAGTGCAACTCTGATGCCGACAAGACAAGCCGGTCACAAAGAGGGTCTGTAGAGACCCCATCCACTAATTCACGATACTGTAGCCTTCGAGGCCGTGAGAGGTCACTGGACCGAGGAAAGACCATCAAGGCCACTCGACATTCCCCTAGGAAAGTCGACAGATTTACGCAGCCAGGACGGCACTCAGGCCAAGAAATGGGAGAAGTGATGGTAAAGCTAGGGATGACGTCCGTAACACTCTCGTCCAGAATCGAGCCCTCAGTCAAAACGCGGCATAGGAAAGCCTACCTCGATGCGTGTCAACGATTCACCTATGGCAATCCCAACACCCTACGACACGGACGCTGGACACAGGCTTCTTTACGGACCTTGTGTTCGCGGCCACTCCACAAGAGGGTAGACAATGAGCACTCGATCGCCATCCTCGGAAAATAGGAAGTGTAGCCAAGTGGTAAACGATGAAAAGAAAGACGTAAGTAGCACAGGCCTCAGCTTTACTCTTCAAGGACAATCTCCTTCGGAGCCACGTCCCGACCAGTTCTCCGACTTTTGCCTGTACTTCTAACCAATTTTTTCTCCAGCTGGAGGGCGAGTCCAAACCAAGAATGAGGACAGGACCGTTCATGCAACCAAAGGGCCCCGGAAGATCGACTCCCTTCCCGGCAGCTCACCACAAGCCAGAAGACTAGTTACGGTTAATCTTGGCCCCCGTGACCTTCTCATACCGTTCAAACGCCTTCTGTACCACCTCAATATTGCCGCGGCACGACACGAAAATGGATACGTCATTGGTGTACGCAGAAAAACTGGCTCGAGCTCCACTAGTGGCAGCTATTCCACGTAGAGCCGGACAGCATCCCCTTTAAAGTAAAGGCAACAGCGGCAAACTTGTCGAACTGATCGAGACAGCTCAAAAGCGCCCTACCGCTTTCCGTTCACCTGTACCACAGCATTGATGGAGCGATACAGGAGGCTGTTACACTTGTAGAAGTCGGGTTCGAATCCGGCGGCCTGCAGGAGAGCAGCCAGGTATCGAAGGTCGACTCTGTCGAATGCCTTAGACTGATCTAAATTGATCAGCGCGGCTCGCTTGTTGTTTTCTACGCCCTCTATCATCGAGCGGATCAGATGCAGGTTGCTTTGAATTGTTCATCCCTTCACTGATCCGGTCGAGGATGGACCCCTGCCGGAACCAGTTGTTGAACACGACAGTCAAACTCGGAACAAAGATGTGCGACAGCCTCAAGTACAATTCGTAGGACAGACCACCAAGTCTCGAAAAGCACACACGCATCGATGTCGCAAAAGTGTGTCTCTTGGATCGCGTCTACATCTACCCAGAAGGCAGGCGGGCGGTATTACCCCGATCTCTCAGGCCTCTCGCATTCAAACTAGCTAGCTTGATAAACATTTTTTAGGGTTTTCAAATCCTTTAAATGCAAACTGACAGAAATCTGCTGGAGTCAAGACCCCGACGGATTGTCCCAGACTTCCAGTACCAATGTTGGTCGTAATTCGACTGTCTGTGACAATACCGTCCTGTATAAGAAGCAGTGGAGTAACACAGGGACCCTCACTGCACATAATTTGCTTAGTTTTTTTTTAAAAAAATCTTCCGACTCCACTTGAGTTATTCTGATTTGGAGAAATCATTTTTGAGCGGCGTCTAAGGGGTTCCAAATCTTTAATTTCTACTGTCCCAGGAGCTTGCGGGAAATTGCCGGGAATTTGAACAATGGCCTCAGGTGGGTCTTTCTCTCTCTAACGACTTCCTGTCAATGCAACAGATAGCTCCCCCATGGGGTAGGGTTTCTCTTTTTAGGTAGGATGGGATTGTATGGAGGAAATGGCAGATAAACTCATGATAGAGAAGAGGAGAGTCTACTAGCCTTGTCCGCATATATGTTTCTATCTGATGAAACAGGGACAGATTGGGACTTGGCATGTTCGACCAATCCTTTTATCCTTTTTTACACCTTCGTTCTTGTCTATTTCCTCCGCCGTTCCCCTTTTCAAAGAAGAAGAACGTGATGGTGACATGTCTTCCACTTCCATCTCAATCTCCATCTCTTGTTGCTGCATTTTCTGGTGTTGCATTTCCTGCTGCCGCATTTCCTTTGCTGAAGTTACTGCACCTGTTGCTGCTGCTGTGGATTCAGCTCCTGCAATCGCTACACTACTTGCTGATGCTGTTGTTGTTTGTGCAACTTCTGCTGCTTCTGCTGCCGCTGTAGTTGCTCCTTCTGTGGTTGTCGTTGCTTCTCTTGTTTCTGCGACTGCTGCTTTGAACCCTGCTTCTGCAGGTTATCCACTCGTCCATGAAGGACATTCTGTTGAGGGGTAGGGGCCACCACCTTTTGTCCGCCTTCATCTTGGGTGTCTGGTCGGACTTGTCTGGCCTGACTGCCTCCTCCGATGCCGTAGGTTGGTGGTGCTGGGTTCCTGCCGGGGCAAGCCGCAGGACCAGCAGTGAGGTCACCGTCCCTCTATAACAACAAAAATGTTCTGGCTGCAAAATAAGACGTTGGCTATGTTGGAAAAGTTTTTTCCGCGTCAGTATTAATTACAGAGCGACCTCTCTCGTGGCAATGCTCCCCCCTGACTTCTGGTCCTTACAACCTCGCTGACATCCATATTAAGCAAAATGCTCCCAGATAGTCCTCCGCTATATGAAGTGGCACCCCATGAAGAACGACCCTGTCTTTCTTGTGCCAAATATTCGGTCGGCATCCTCACCGATTTTGTTGTGAGGATGCTCCCGATCAGTGCTTTCGCCTCGTCGGCGGTTGCTAACAAAATGTCCCACGTGGCATTGAACATTCTCGTCAATATTTTCGGATTAATACTGATGCTCTTTAATCCCTCTCCCATTATTTCCCTGCCGACACCGATTAACCTTCTTGTTTTCACATCCGAGGTCAGCAGGGAGATCGAACTGTGAGACACAAACTCAGAGATCAAGGGAATGGGCAAGAGTTCATTTCCAGCAACGAATTCCTTGTACTTTTCTTTTGGTCCTCATAGTACTTCGGGCCCTGCTTAGATATGTTTCCCTACCCAAACTGACTGAAGGAATAGTAGAGGTTGATACTTGTGACTATTGTGAAGACTTCTCCATAACAATGAAGGTCCCACAGCAAAAAAAAAAAAAAAAATCTTAAAAAAAGTAACAGAAACAAAGGTAACTGAATAACACAAAAGAGACAAAAATAAAAACGTGTCAGACAATCAACGTAGGTGAAAGTCACAAAATTTCAAACAGGGTTACTTTTGTAAGGAAATTCCAAACTAACGCCCAGCTTTAAAAATAAATCGGTCTTTAACTGAATACCGACTTCGTATTCCCTTCGAAAGCATATAGAGTAGACAGATATTTTGGTATCTCTAAACGATCATACATTTTCTTTAAATTAAAGGTACCGAGATTCCCCATATAATACACATTTTTCCCTAAAAATAATAAGCAAAATCAGAGGTGCGTATTATGCACAGCTACAAAAAATCTTTAAAAATTTCCCGTAAAACAAAAAAAAGAATTATCATAAAACTAAATTAGAATAATATTCTATGTTTAAAAGCATTTTTTAAATAAGAGTAGGAAACGCTGACCGTAATGAAATTGGAGTGATACAATTTATAAGGTTTGATTACCAAGCAAGGAGTGCGTATTATGCATGAGTAGAAGTATTTTCCCATACTTTCAGCAAAATTCTAGGGGTGCGTATTATGGTTTAAGGTGTATTATACATGGGGAATTATGGCAATTGCATATCATATGTAATTGTTTAGCCTGACGCATATATTTTGTTGTGAAGTAAATAGTAAATCCCCGTGAATATATGAACTAGCCCAATACTATAAAGAGCTCCAGGTTAGAGGCAAGACTGGTGGCAAGTTCTAGTCAGGCAGTTTGCCTTCTGGCTTGCGACTGACAAGCTCTCTGTCTTCGGACCGAAGGAAACTCAGTCGGGGGTCTGTCTACAAACAGAAAATCGGCTGAGAAAAAAACAAGTAATGTATCCGAGCCCAAAGTTGCAGGGAATGGGTAAATTTTCAACCAGCGGCCCAGTGTACGCGCTCGGATTCCCTACGTTAATCCTAACCTTGTGTCGTATGCCGTCTAAGTGGGGAAGCCTGGGTAAATACCTAGTCGTTTGGTGACAGGCCGTTCGCTGTCTGGCTTGCGACTGAAAGGCTTCTGTTTTCGGGCAGAGGGTGACTCAGCCGGGGCTCAGTGTACGGATAGAGACTCGGCAGTGAAGAACAGATAAGTGCTTGTTTTGCAAGGAATGGGTAAATTTTGGTATAGCGGCCCAAGTGTAGGTGCTCGGGTTCTCCACTTTAAACTTAACCTTGAGTTGCATCACGTCTAAGTGAGGAGGCATGGGTAAATACCTGAACGTTTGGAGTCAGTCTTCAGACAAATACTGACATCTTAGCAAGTAGCCGAAACATTATTTATAAAAAATCCTTATACGAAATACATTATATAAGTAAGAGTGTGTTACAACAATAACAATAGTAAAGTAGCGATATGTTGTGGCCTTGTTAGACCCCGAAATAAAGACACAAAGAGAGGAATTGAGTTAAACAAATATATTAACAGCAACAGTAATACAAACATATACAAACAAAAGTGTTACAGCAAGAATGTTCGGCCCGACTGTCCGAGCTGACTGCTGGAAACTTCCCTCTCCAAAAGGTAGTACCTGCTCCTATTTATAGCTGGGAGAGTCCATGCGTGCGTGGGTAAATTACCATAAAACGTTATGATATATTTTACCATTCAGTTCTTTGTAGACACTACGAAAATCTTGCAAACCTTCCTTAATCCTATTCGTGCCTTCAGAATTAACACAATCATTGTAGCACTCTCAATAAAACTAAAATCTAACGCAAGATTATGTTTGATTTCTGGGAACGCTCAAAATGTTCACATATAAATTAATGAAATACATCACATACTAAATTAATTAATTTTTTCTTCGCTTTTCCAACAAATAAATCCTTGAAATCTTGAAGACAACAACACTAGACCTACATAATCACAAACAAAATATCAATAACCACATCACTTGGACGCTTCCAAAAGCAACAACAACAAATATTTGTAACACATATAAATCGAAGGGAAAATAATGATATAATCAACCTGTTAAATTTTCAAACTATCAAAAACAAAAGTTTAGCAACGAAACGCACATCAATATACTAGAAAGAGCTATAACATTTAGTAAACATCTTACTCATTATAAAACACAGATTGTGTGTGTGTGCGTGTGTGTGTGTGCGTGTGTGTGTGCGTGCGTGTGTGTGTGTGTGTTTGTACGGTTATATATTGGATCGGATTTCCTACATTTTTCAATCGATTTCAACAAAACTTCACAGGACTACGTAAAATTACCTTGCGGTGGTTCTGACAGCGTCAAAAATGAGAAAAACACAATTGTTTTTACATGAAATCAATTTGAAAACACGATAAAACACGATTCTGTCGCCAGAATGAAAGGGGGACAATTCGTATCGAGTTATACTTATTATAAAACCCAGGTTTTGTGTGTGTGTGTGTGTGTGTTCGTTTATATATGGGATCGGATTTCCTACATTTTTCAACCGATTTCAACAAAACTTCACATTTTTTTGGCAGGTAGTGTTTCTTATTGTCTTGCACACTTTTTTCATTATTTTTACATTCAGAATGCTTTAAAAATTCCATTTACAAGACAATTGTTTATAATAAAATTCTATTCATTCGATAGACTCGTAACGATTGAAAACAATGTTTTTGTTTGAGTTTGGGTTTGACCAATTCGTAAAAAAAACCCCCAAAAAACAAAAAAAACAAAAACAAAAACAAAACTAATTAAGACATGCGTGTCCGTCAACCTTAAACAATAATCTTTGTCAATTTTATTTTTCAGTCTTTATGATGGTCGATACCTGATCTATCTCTTACCGGGCTCTACTGATAGTTAGATATTAAATTTCCTAACCAACTGTCATAAGAAACCGATTTTATATATTTCAACCGATATTAACGCAACAGTTCAGACATTAAAAGTCATATTTTTGAAATCGACCAATTTGTCTATTTGCGTCATTTTGGCTCATGGAATTTCCCCCAAAACACCTGGATAAGGTGAGAGTAGTAAAATTGTAACATTCTGATCTAACAAAAGAATTTCGACAGATGTCATGGTTGACGATATACAAGAAGTGCTTGTGTCGCGCGAGTTCTTATGAATGGTAATGTTCTAACACTGCGATATTTTAGTTTCTGAAATTTAATCTTTACCTTGATTCATATACCAGAAGGGAAGCCGAAATTATTCAGAAATCGGTAGACAATTTATATTCATGGTTCAAGAAATTAAAAAAATAATTACCAATGTCAAGCAAAGAAAATTCGTTATTCTTCAACGAAATTTTAGCTAATGACTAACGAAAGCTGTTTATTAAGGGTTTTTAGTTTATTTTGTCTGAATTTCGGATCATTTTGTAAGTTTCCAATACATATACATGAAATATAGTTACCCCAAAACACCCTATATATATATATAAGTAATTATACTCGTCTGTAAAAACCTGAGGTGTTTTGGCTTGTAAATGAACAAACCAATACCCAAAGAAAAATAAGGAATAAAAAAAGAAAGAACTAAGAACATGTAATTGAGGCTCAGAGTCCAAAGAAAAAAAAACCCAAAACGAGTAAAGCAAAAGTAACTAAGTAAAGTGCTCAATACACTAAGTAGTGCAAGTCTAACTATGAACCTAAAGAGCCAGGCAAACCTACCTAGGTTTCACCTATGCGGTTCATCTGGCTCTTTAGTTATATATATATATATATATATATATATATATGTATATAGTCGACTCTCCCGTCGAATTCGACATATGAGGGTCAAGCAAATCAGTTTCGAGGAAACCGACAGCCCGACAACGATACATGATATTTGATTATATATATATATATATATATATATATATATATATATATATATATATATATATATATATATATTTTTTTTTCTTCTTTGAACAATTTTATATTTTAAACTTAATAATGATTAAATTTAAAATTTAAAATTGGTAATTTTTAATTTTCAATTTTATAGTAAATTTAATATTAATTAGTTAGAATGATTTCTATGTTAGTTTAACCCTAACGTTAAAGCATTAATTATTATAACCAAGGTTCATTTCCCATTTTTACTAATTCTCATATGCTTACCGCATTTCCCCTCGCGAGGGGTGTTTGATTGATTTGAACTTTTTAAAACCCTTTATTTTACATTCAACACCATCACTTGATAAGACACCAGAAGTGTTGAAAAAATGGC